ACTGACTTCGGTCACGTGATTACGGTATATATATATATATACATATATGCGTATGTGTGTGTATTATATATAGATATAGAATATTACATATAATATATATAATATTTTCTTTTTTACCTTTTTTCTTGTTACGTGACTTTAGTCACGTGTTGTTTTTCCACTTCTCTCTTTCACTATTTTTTTAGTTTGATTTTCATGCGTTATTTCTGACATTTCTCATATGTGTATTATATGGTTTATAAGACGTATATACTATCTGTCATCGCGGTGACAAGTTGTGTTCACTGACAACACGTTAAATAAAAATAACAATAGCGTGCGCGTAGCGCGCGCTTATGTTGTGGTAGTATAATAAAAGTTAAAAAAAAAAGTTTTATAAGAGCATCTGTGATTAATGCAAAATGTATGAAGAATAGTGTGCGTTCTATGTTTATGTTTATGAAAACAAGCGCGATTTTTCAGACTCCTTTTAGCTACATCTAGCGTCGTTATGTTAAGTTTAGGTTTACGATACAAGACCACATCCACCTTTATGTAACTGTTGGTAAAGCAACTATCTTTCTAACCAATACTAGAAAATTGTATGAAAACATTTTCACACATTACCTGTCGAACGTCAGGCTGTCCTGTCGGTAATCGCAACCGTTGCAGGTGCTGCATTTCGACGACAGATCCGTGTCTCTGTCGGTATCGTCGCACCGATTCTGATCCTTCCGATGATCCACCACGACGCTCCACGTGCGGTGAATAAGATAGAACAGGTAGAGCGGTTTGTTTCGCCGACACGGTTGCGATCTCGTGTTTCCCATCGTTTTTTTTTTTTTCTTATCTTCGAAAGTTCCGCAAGTTATATTTCGTCGCACGTACAAGCACCGGAACGAAGTAAAAATGAGTCAAGTTTAAAAAAATTCATTTCGCTGAACACTCGACACTGTTTGAGCGCGAAATCGTAGTTTTGTTCACGTTTTAACGACATAGTTTCAGTCTCTTTTCTTGTAAAAGTTCGGTTGCACATATCCGTGAAACTTTTTAATCGATTCGGCGCACTTAATTAATTACACTCGACGCAGCCGATCTCGGAAACTCGGTTGAGACTACGCAACTTTTCCGGTCGGGAAGTTGTTTACACGCGCGCAGCACATCATGCACCACAAAGATTAGCGTTTGATCGCATGACCGATCATTAGGGCCGTGGGATTCTGGACTGCGTGAATCTCTTGCGTGCCACGACCCCGGCCTTCAGTCAGACTCGTGTAACAACTTAAGTAATAGCTTGCATCTTCCTTCCCGGGGAGATAACTCCGGAGGCGAATCCGCGCGCGATCGCGGTCTATCATTTATATAATTCTTTTTGGACCGACGATTTTTTCTTCGCCTTAATTCGATTTCTGAAACAGATCGCGCAAGTTCCGCGTTATAAGTTCGCTTCTACATGACTTGCTTTCGAACGAATGTTTTATGCAAATATTCGTATCCGTTACACAATAATGTATCTCGAACTGTTTTTGTGTCATCTAAAAACTAAACTGTGGGCGAATGAAAATTTGTTTTGAGTCGTAAAGTTCATCTGAAAATAATTTCGAAGCATTAAAATCCTTTCGCGGGAATTCGCAGACATTTTCTCTCAAGTGTCCATTACAACGTCCTCTGTTTTGCATAAATAAATTTGTAACGATTGTTGTGAGTTGTTTCGAAAGGACGAAAAAGATGCGAAGGTTAAATTAAGATGAAGTTTTCGACATTAACATCCGGTTTTTATTTTCGATTCCGTACGAACAATCGTACCATAACCGCGTGCGTTGTTTCTTACGTTATCTCTTCCTCGCCGCGGCAGACGCATTACTCACATTTCTTCTATGCTACGCGATTGTGTTTACACTTGCGTAATTATAGGTCGAGAGGCAAACGACTCGAAAGTAGCATTTGAGAGAATGAACGAATGCGCGCTGCTGCGCCTCCTACTCAAATGGCAAAATGAGTAAAACGTGTTTTTATGTAACATGCGGGGTTTTATTAAGATTTTATATATACGCGCCGCGCGGAATAAAACGTCCGTAAATTACACTCGCGACATTAATGTGAGAATGTTTTGCGCCGCGGTAATTTCCGTCCTAATGAAAATCTATTTAAAGCCACGCGTGTCTCATTCGGAATTAACTCACGTGGTGGTTTTTCTCTTATTTCCGCATTGTTTTTGTTAATCACGTAAATATTTTATTTCTGATAAATTGCATCCAACAGAAATAATTCTCAAAATTATTTTCCGACTCGATCATCTTTTGTAAAACGTATAGTTTTTTCTTATAAAAGTGATTTTTCTCACAAAAGTTTCCCTTCAATCGTCTTTAATTTGTTATGAAGTTATAGCTTTTCATCGATTATTCGCGCGTCGAAAGCTACATTTTGATGCTACTTGACTATACTATTTGTTTCTCGTGGTGATCATCTGATACTGATGTGGAAAGGACCACGTAGCGTTATCACACGTTATTATCTGCAAATTATATGCAACTTTTGTGGCAATTCTTTTTGTTTTTTTATCAAGTCTGTATTTTCACATGATATTATCTGTAAATTACAATGTAGCTTTTGTGTTAATTTCTTTTGTCGAACGTTTGAATTTCCACGCGTTATTATCCGCGAATTGTACGTATAACTTAGTAATTGTTTTTTTTTTTTTTTTTTGAGTTTTTGTTTTTATTAAACGTCAAACGTTTACATTTTTCCACCGTCGTTTCTTGCGGTTACGCTTTCCCACGATAGCTAAGATCGCTCGCGTGATCTTGTACGTGATCTACGTGATCGCGCGTAATGTCGAGTGTGCGAGACCAGAGTTTTTTTCCCCTTCAAACTCTCTTGTCATTAGTGTCACTGTCACCGATGTCTCAGAAATTCCCACACACGTTCACCACGCACGGCGACAACGTGCCGGCGAGCCGCGCTAACGGAGAAGAAGAGAATATATACATGCGGTACTTTCAAAATATTCGCGCGCGTCCTATCACACTCGGTTCTTCGGATCGTGACCATTTTTTTGTCGGCGTAACGGAGCCTCGCGATTATTTCGAGTGACTCGTGAATGTATGTGTGTGTATGTGCGCGCGCGCGCGCGCGCTAAGCGCGGCGGCGATTTATCTTCCTTCCATTATTCGCGCGTAAATCAAGTCGTTAGCTGTCAAGTGTGTTTCGAATTAGATTCGTTATTTAATTTAAAGATTAACCTTTAACCGACCGATTATTGTATATCGATTTCGAATGCTTGAGAGAAGAGAACCAAGCGTACAATTACATATAATTTGCCTCAACGCTCGATAAAGAAAAACAAAAAAAAAAACTGGCTCTCTCGAGAGTGTCTAAACTGCGCGTTCTAAACTTCCGTATTTGCGTTGCTTTCTTTGCGCTGTCACTCGCGACAAACGGTACCGACAAATCAAATTGCCAAGAAAGCATGTTACCGGAAAATCGTTATTGGAAAAACCTAGTGATCCACTGACACGCGCGAAAAACTCGCCGAGAGACCGTTATCATAATAGCCGCTTTATACAAATGTCCGATTTCTCTTTTATATAATTTTTCTTTTATCCTCCTTTAGAAACACATAAAAACACTATTTGCCAATAAAAATATATACGTACGTTATATACGCACGCGTCCGTGTATGTGTGTAATGAAAGAAAATTATCTAACGTGTTCTTACGAAATATGTGCATTCTCCTCATATTACATCTTCCCAGAGTTAATTAAGGTCGAAACAATTAGGTTCAATGTCAGACCCCAGATACAACTAATATAAATTTGCTCGAAACATTTTAATTAAACGTTGATTCATTAATTTTGACCGATGTAATATGGAGAATAATTAATGTAAATTTGTTTAAAACATTATATAATTTAATGTTATATAATTTAATGTACAATACGAAATATATATTAGGTGAGTGCAAAAAAAAATTCTGACTTCGTGAAAAATGTAAATTAAATTAGTTTTTCATAAAATTGCTCGGTCTATTTTTTTCTATCAAAACTCTTGCACTCGGTAATATTCAATTTATTGAAAAAAATACAGAAATTATATATGTGTAAGATATCTCTACTCACGTTTACACGCGCGCAGCATTGTGAGCGCGCGAAACAAAAAACCACACACCTACACAAATATTTAGTAGCGCTCTTGCAATATGAAGATTGGAACAAAGAACAATTGCAAATGCTTCAAAGCGCGCACAAAAGCTGTGAAGTCCCATTGAGTTCTCTCTCTCGCGTTCCGTTCAGCAGACGTCAATTTAATCCCATCCGCGGCATTAAAATCACCACCAACCGGCGTGTCGCAAGAACGACACGAAGCGACTGCTTAGTATCCCAGTGTGTTAAAAATCGCACTCGGCACCGTTCTCACTCTATTCTTCTTCTTCTTCTTCGTCTGTTGCTGGCACTTGCTCGCATAAACATTCAACACACTGCGCATTACGGACACAACCGTGAAAATTATCGGTGCTCTCCCTTCTTTCCCCCTCCCTTCCCTCACACGTGGGAGAGATTCCCTCTCGATAATACCTTCCTTTGACGCGAAGGATTCTGCCAGCACTGCCGCCAGGCACGAACCCCTAGGTGCGCCGGGAGAGATTGATAAAAAAACGCGTGTACGAGAGCGTACGTGAGGCATTCACCGGGCGGCTTTCAAGAGCCGACTGCCAACCCGCGAATGCCCCGAGGTGCACGTGTGCAGCACATCGCCTCTCTTGGTTCGCCTCTCCAACGAGAGACCTGCTCGTCTCTCTTCTTCTTCTTCTTCTTCTTCCTCGGTTGGCGCGGCCTAGGCGCGCCGTGACTCGAGCGATCGAACAACAAGAGAGGAGAGGACGCTGGTGTGCTCGCGCGGAGAGTGTTTCAGACTGTGGGTCAAGTCGCGACCTACGGTGTAACGATGCACCGTGAGTCGTCGACTTCTCTCCACACTTGGGAAACCGGGGAGAGACCATGGCGGGAGAACCCGCTTCACTGGGTCAGGATGTTGAATGTGGAACCACCGCCTTGACTCCCGATTTCGAGATACGGTAGATTTTTACGAAGAAACAAAATTCGTCAACAACAGGCCTTTGGTCATTTTTTTTGCGATTTGCATTTGTGAGCGTTTCTTACATTAATTCGGATGGACTTTATTGCGTTTTTTTTTTTTTTTCAAAAAATTTTGATGCGATTTCACGGAATCGTTATAGTATTCGCGTAATTCTTGTCATTGACGTAACGACGAGAACATCATAAAATACGAAGAAATCTTTATCTTCTTGCAAATGTACCTGTTGGTGAATCCGAGCCTGATTGCACATATTACACGGAATGCGAGCGTGGAATCTGCGTGAAGAGGTTTTCTTCGTCGCAAAAAACTAGCTAGTTTGTGCCGTTAATTGGTGCAATTTAAATGAGTACGCGTAATGACACCGCGGTTTGACGAGAAAGATCGAAGAGGAGTATGGTTTTCGATGAGATTAAGTACCTAACGAGCTCTGACGTCGGGCGATAACGTAACACGCAATGTACCTGTATCGTATTTCATTGTAATGTGGAACGGAAGCGAACGGTTCTCTCTCTCTCTCTCTCTCTCTTTTGCAACAAATGTTTTATTAAATTTGAAATATTGTAATTGTTATTCCGTGGCAAATGTGCGATAATACCAAAATTAAAGTTCCGTTGGACGAAAGAGACGAACTTCTATACCGCGATAATAAATTGAAAAACTACGTGATGTGTCTCTTATATTGTTTTTCATGAACTTGCATGCACAATGCATGCATGTTTTATTTTTCGCCTGACAGTCACTCACTAGGTCACCTCGACGCGGACTCCACTGAGGTTTCTTAACGAAAAGTAATCAAGTACCGCTGCAAGACGGAACCCACAAGAAATGCGATTTTCATAGCCTGTAATTGCGCAACCGTCAATGAAGAACGTTCGCGAGATTAGATTTCCGAGAGCAAGAAACAAACAACGCTTTAAAAAAAAATATTTGTCGTTTAAAAAAAATTTAGTCACGGTTCTGCGAGATATCGGCATATCGACTTTGAAGGATTTGTAACTTTTATGATATATGCTCTCTTTTAGTAGGACAAGAGTTCAATGTATATCCTAGTTCTAGTTTAGTGACATTCGTCAAATTGACGGGTTTTCGAAAAAACATTTTATCTTTTATTATTTTTTTATTTCTTCTGTATTTTAATACTTGAAACAAAAACAGTTTTCAAATACAAAGATTTTTCATATTTCAGACCTTTTTCTCGTTAATATAAAACTACTCATTTTTGTAATTTAAAATGAGAAATCTGAAATCTTGTCATTTGATTGTTAATGTCAACAGAAAAAATAAAACCAGGAAACTTTATACCATAAACTTTCTCTTCGATCAAAAATCACGTGAAAATGTCGTTTTCGACGGTGTTTATATTTTTCTTTGCATTGTTGTAAGACGAAAAATAAATCCCAAGTATCTCGTCAGATTAAATTCGCGGCTAACCTGAGATAAGTGTTTAACTGGCGTATCATCCTATGAGAGACGATGTCGCTTCCGGGTGCCTGTGCGATGTCAGGAATAAGGAAATGCAGTAAGGAATATGGTAATGAGAGATAGGATCTACGATTTTATAATAATTCTCTCTCATATCACGCGCGCGCGCGCACAAACTCTGTTTTTGTATCTACTTATTTTTAATATACATATACCCAGAAGAAGAATTTATAATTAAAATTATAATTTACTAATTAATATTCAGCAGCTAGTGTAACATCAAACCAGCAAAAATTTGTTTGATCAGTGTGTTTGTGCGAAATATATATTTTTATTTATTTAAACGTGTTTAAATTGACACAGTGACAAATGAACACATTGACAAAATAAATCTTGTTAGTTTAATATGCATTCATTCGTGTATTATTAATTTGTAACGAGAAGAATTTGAATCAAAGATCGAAACGTACACATTTGATTTTGTAATTAATAACAAATTTTATACCAAGCCGCCAATAATTGCGTTAACTCTAATTTATTACTTGTGTTAAGTCTGTACAAAAGACTCTTTAATAGAAAATTTATTTATTTACAAATTAAATTTACAACCACGGTGTTTACAAAATTTTACGAATATATGCAACTATAATTGTAATAAGTGAGACAGCACTTTGTATATTTCTCTGGTCTCAAATAAAAAAAATTAAACAAAACGTGTATATGTATGTATATACATATATATATATATGTATATATATGTATATATAAGTATATATATATATAGTTACACGATACGCGCGGTCTAATGAGATATATCTTGCGGCGCGCGTAATCTTGATAAGTCACGTAGAATCGACGCGAACGGAAGTACGGATTAAGTCGTTATCGCGTCGCGTACCGCGAAGGGATGTGTGTATATGCTCGTGTATAGAAACGACGCGACGCGGCAAACGTCATTTTTTTTGTCGGTATTGAAAAGTAAAATCCGGAGCGATCTCTTGAGATAAATCCGACGCGGTAATACCAGTAGGTTAGATTCACGCTTGACCTGAGTCGAGCGGATACATGTAACCATGTATCAAGGCGGCAAGAAAGCCCGCCGCTTCCGGATGCTTGTGCAATGTCGGGAACACAAAGTCGGGGGAAGCGAAACGAAAGAAAGGATAATTATTGACGTCCGACGAGAACTCTAATAATTTCAACATAAGAAATAAGCAAGAATTAAACCGAGCAAAAAACTTGACATTAAAAAAAGAAATCCTTTCTATATTTAACTCTCGAGAAATCGCAGAGAAAGAGAGAGAAAGAGGCAACGTTTTGCTCCGAGATCGCGCAACAAAGGATTAATTTATGCGCGCGGTGTGGCTGCCATCGCGCGATCTTCTACATCTGAAACTAGCCTCCGCAATTCCGCGAGAGAAGCGGACGATCAAAAGAGGAACGCGTAAAACGCGTATATACACTGTGTAGATACGCACGATGTCTATAATACCCGTGCGAGTGCGGTTTTGTATCGCGATAGCTTTCTGGACAGTGTGTATATATACGAGACCGCGGTTGCTTATTATACGTGCGTGTGTGGGTCTCTGTGTGTGTGTGTGTGTCTCTCTTCCGCGAGAAAACTTCCCTACCGGAAAACACATCTCGACGACAATCTGCACGCGCGCGTTTTTTTAATTACTATTTATAATATTCGCACTTTAAGAGAGACAGAGATCGAATTAATATCGAAATAACAACATACTGAATACGTATGTTATATCGAAGAAATTATAGCGTTGTATATTTTTACGATTTGCGTAAATGCGATAAAAACACCGCCGGGAGCGAGTGAAAATCGCAATTGAATACAAATATCGCGTATAAACTGTCAAGCAACGAGGATTTCGCGAGAGGAGAACGACCGATATGTCGTACTTCGCCGTGGGCGACTAATTAGAGAGACTTTACAAAGTTGTCGGAGCGGCATCGGCGTCATTAAGTGGGACAAGGTGTCGCCCTATAATCAGACGATACGACCCAACAGAAGCAGGCCGTTACAACTGTGCTCTGCTCTCTGCCCCACGCACTCGTTAAAATTCTAATCGCCAGTCTCTCGGAATTGAAACGCAGTTTGCTTCTTTTAATATTGGAGTGAGAGCATCAAATCACACATATCGTAAAACAAATAGCTGGATAATTTGTAAAAATTCATTCAAAAAAAAAAAAAGAAAAATTATTAATTGAAAATATCAATAATATAATAAAAATGTAATACTGAGTTAATTAATTTTTTTTGTTGAATACTAATGAAGCCTCTTAATTGTTTTGATCAATTTTAAATTTACCAAAAATAAAGGAATAAGCAACGAAATTTGTTTTTCTCATTGAAAGACTGCAATTGCGATTCTTTACAATTAAGATCAATTTTGCAAAAGGCGAGCGAAGGTCCGAACGATCCAGTTTACTAAGTTTAGATCTGCTCGCGAATATGAATCCCAGTCGTTCTCGAGAGAAGACGCGTCTATACCAGCGCGCATGGTAATGGCCAAGCCTACGCCCATCTCTTACATGGAATTATATACCGTTATATTATTTATATCGCGATTATGTACATTTTGTACCCACTCTCTCGAACCATCGACACATCACTCAACGCGCATCACTCGCTCTTTTTCCGAACGTCGGATTTTTATTGCCGATGTTAATCTCGCTTATTAGAATTTATTTATCAATTTTCTTGCTTACTACAGTGTGTAATTATGTTCTAATTCCACTAAGTCATCACGCGCGCTTCGACTACTAAACGTGAAAGCGATGTACAACAACAGATATACGACGAATTGTATCGATAAGGAATCTTAATAGGATGTTGACACTTGATAGGGTGTTGACATTGTACGCGCGTGTACGAGAAAGTATTTTTTTTATATATTTTTTTTTTTTATTTTCGTCACCTTCAGCGCTTTGTTAACACCAGAACTACCGATGTTGAATGTGTATCTGATTTTCAGTTTATTTCAAATAAAAGTTTGTAATCGCGAACAAAGACAATATTTAACTCAATAAATCATTTGTTTTCAATTAAAGAAGTTTGAAAACCATTTGACGAGTCATTTTGACGAGTTGGTTTTGATAGTGTTGAGACAACAATATACAAATATGAATAACAAATATATGAATTATCAAACGTCACGCGATAACTATCGAAATCCCAAATGATATTATTTAGTCGCGACATAAATACCTCAGTTAAGATAATTGTATGATATTATCAAAGATAATAGCAACCAATCAAAATTTTGTCACGATAGGAAGCTTGACGATAAAATGAACGTGGCGTTAATATGTTTCTTGATTTCTGTATCGCATAAAAGTTGACGCTCGCGTTTGAAAACACCGCCTGAATGTTATCCGAAGAGAAAGTCGAAGAGAAGCCGGTTATGGGCGCGCTTTATGTGTTCCAGTCCAGCGCCACGATGTACACGTTTCTGTGCGAATAACTACGTTGTCACATACGCTTTGGTTCTGTTCCGTTCTGTTATAAACAATAAGACTGTACCAACGCATGTTAGATCAAAGATGAGATTTTCTTACCGGGTGAATGTAAGAAAAATACTCACGACAGAGATGTATTTAAAAATGCACAAAACTCGTAAATACAGATAAAACCGTATTCTATGTATCATAAGGAAAAAACACGCATGCCTCAAATCATTTATTTAGAATAGTAATAAATACATATCGGTCTATCAGTCATACTTTGTCGATCTATACGAAAAAATACAATTTTCCTTGACCAGCTAGAAAAAATTGCTAAGTTTACCGAATTATTCGTATGTTGAACAAAACGTTTCGGTAGTAAAACAAAAAATCTCAATAAGTCTAGCTAATTTTTTTCGTTATTTAATAACTATCCGTTTTGTTAGTTTAGCAAATCTTTTTTTTTTCTGTATAAGATGAAAACGTTAATAGACATACAGATTAGTAATAGTAAGATATTTGTTTTCCTCAAACTTTGCTTCTGCATCCTTAAATTCAACAGCGATTTAATTTGCAATGAAAACAAAACTGTTAATTTACGAGATACAATAATTGCATCTCTATAATAAATGTGACCATTGTTTTAAAAGTAAGTAAGAATTTAGACACATTCAATATGACAATTTTACTTATAACATACGATGAATTTAGTCTAGGAGAAAAACAATATCTGCTCATAATTCTTAAACTATGTATAAACTACACTCAACCTTCCTTGAACGTAATGGTATTGCACAGTTTTTTGAAAGATTAGTGAATTACGCACAGTGTACAAAATATGTAATGATAAATATATATATTAAAAAAATCACCGTTTCCACGTTTTTTGGTAATATTGATTACCAAGCTAACCATCTGGTGTTAGCTTGTTATTGCCATTCCCTTATTTTTTTTTATTTTTTCTTTTTAAGAAGAAAATGCTTTAAATAATAATAACATGAAAATGTTTTAAAGAAGATATAAAAATTTGGCGTAAGTTACGCCGAAAATAAACCTATTTTCTACTATTACAAAATACAAATAAAAATTTATGATAAACCATCAAAAGAAAGATTGCAAATAAAGTAAACTGAATTGCTAACCAGTTTTTCTTTCAAGTTCCTTATTCATGCTTACAGCTATTTCGTTAGATATGTTTTCGAAACAAAAGTAAATTATTTACCATTTTTTTATGTCCACAGTGTTGAGCAAACATGATCACAAGTTACGTATTCCTCATAATTAAATAACATTATTTTTACTACAACATAGTTTTTATATATACCTTTTATTTCCTTGACATACACATTTTACAATTTGTTTACACTTTCGTTTTTGATCTTCTTAAACGTACCAAGAAAAATTATTCCAGTTTGCACTTCACTATTTTATCGGCCACTGTAATACTTCGTATCAAAATGTGATACACACCTTGCGAAGACTCGCGTTTATTTCTTGTTTTGCGTTTTAGACGTAAGCAGTGATATTGAAAGATACGTGTGACCCTTTTAGTCGTTCTTTGTATTTCTTCGCATAAAGTTCGTTACTTTGGTATAGGACAAGCACTTCAAGTATCGATTCAGGTGAGAATTTTGTAACTCGTATATGTGCTGTTAGTTATTAAAAATAATAAGTAAATACTATAATATGTAGTACGTTTACTATTTCNAATTTAGTTACATTTCAGTCTCACTTGAGAAATGATACAAAGATATATTTCAAAGTTATCTCTATACAGTATATAAAACTGTATTTGTTACAACACCTACTTATTTATCTCAAGAAAGCGATAGTTTGTAACAGTTTCCAATCTGCAAATTCTTACGAATAATTATTCGGACAAGAAAATAACGACACAAGTAAACACGTAAGACAAAAGTTGTATCAGCTACACAGGATAAAACACATTTCTGCGACAACCTTAACAGAGCATTTGACTTACAACACATATACAATATACAAATGTAACCTAAACTAAAATAATAGTTTTACGTTACTGTTAATTTATGTATTATTGTATGTAATCAATACTTATATTTGAATTTTATAATTATTATTGTGTATGATTTGTATAACATTATTAGTAAAATATTGTATAAAAGGTGCTCTACATTATTTTAACGTAAGTCTCTCAACTCAGCACACACTCTTCACAAGTCATTGTCAGTATTGTGTTATTACTGTTACTACTTTTTTCCTACCATGGAATCAGTTGCTTCATCTAGTCGACAAGAAATTCCAGCTAATAATTATTTATGTGAAGTAAGTATCGAAAAAATCTCAATTATCGTAAGTACAACACATGTTCAAAATATTAAATATATTGTGTCGGTTTATACTAGCAGTAGTAATAGAATATATTGACAGACTAAAATAATAATTATTGTTACAATGATTTTTGTTATCAGCTATGTGACANGAGATTTGCAACACAATATGCACTAATCATTCATGAAGAAATTCATTCAACTCGCATATCTTGTAACGTATGTAACTCAGTTTTTACATGCACCGACGATTTAGACAAACATATTGCAGAAACGCATTCAAGCTACCGTTATTATAAATGTAAAGTGAGTGATGAAAATTACTTTTTTCGTAGGAACACTTTGTCCAAAATATTAAACACTATACTATTTTACATGTACAATAAATGTGACTATAATCAAAACATGGGAATAGTAACTTTAATATTGGTACGATGTTATTTTTTGTTCAGTGGTGCCACGAGAAATTTAAAGAACGATCTGAACTAGAAGATCACGCAACCACTCATAAACAAATAGATGTTTTTGAGTGTGAGTACTGTAGAAAGTTAGAAAGAAGTGTTTGCTTTCAAAGTAGGAATTTATTATGTACACACATACGTCAAGAGCATCCAGAAAAGGACATTGAAATGGTTACATCTAAGGTACGTGATAAATACGTTCGTCATGAAGAAACCATGTTTGCAACATGGTTTAAAATATATCGGTCTACATTAGCAGAACATGTTGACAAACAAATTATTCTCGTAACAATGTTATGTTTGTTTAGTTATTTACCAAGATATGTGAAAATATAAGTGATCTACGAAAACATGAAGTAACTCATACCCAGTCAAGTGTGTCGTGTAAATACTGTCACAAAATATTCAATTCAAATTTTACTTTAGCAATACACATGCGCGATAATCATCCACAAAGTAAACATATGTGTAAAGTACGTGATTAACACACCTTTATCATGAGAAAACCATTTCTTTAGCATGCTTTGAAATATATCAGTTTACAGTAGCAAACTATGTGAACACAAAAATAATTCCGTTATGATGTTTATTTTGTCTATAGATATGTAAAGTATACGTAAATCCACGCGCACTAAAAAAACATGTGCTTGCTGCCCATAAGTTTTACTTCTGTTCTTACTGTTTTCAAATATATCTGACAAAACAAAAATTAGATGATCACAAATGTGTCGAAACTAATGTACCCAATCATAAGTGTCCCGTAAGTGATAACAAATTACGCATTTACTAAAAGAAAACCATTTATTCAACATGCTTTAAAATATATTGGATTACAATAGCAGAACATGTTAACAAAATATTATTTTCTGATTTTCTTTTTAGATATGTAATAAAATATTTTTACGTATAGAACAATTAAACAGGCATACACTAAGACATAAAGAAAAGTTTTTCAAGTGTGAGGATTGTACCATAGAGTTCGAATCAAAAACAAAATTATATGACCACAGAAAAAAATATCATTGGAAGTATCAATGTCAGGTACGTGATAAACACGCTTTTCTTATAAGAAAACCATTTACCATGGCGTAAAATATAGCGGATTACAGCAGAACATGTTAAAAAAATAATATTACCGTTATGATGTTATTGTTGTCTAGAGTTGCAAAAAATCATTTATACTTCGTAGCAGACTAATAAGCCATATACGCGAGGACCATTCAGGTTACTTGTGTGATTCCTGTGACAAAATATTCTCAACGGAAGACGATTTTGTGAAGCATCTCTTAGATATACATAAAGATGTCCTTCTATTCTGTCCCGTAAGTGATAAAAAATACGCAATTAGTATAAGAAAACCATTTGTTTATCATGCTTTAAAATATATCGGATTACAGTAGCAAGACTATGTTACCAAAATATCATTTCCGTTATAATGTTATTTTTGTTTAGAATTGTGAATACAGATGTATGACACGAAACGAACTAAAAACACACTTACGCGTAAGACATTCATGTTACTTGTGTAATTACTGTGACAAAACGTTCTCTCAATACAGAGATTTACGTACTCACAAAGACTCCGAGCATAGTAATGTCAATGTTTTTACGTGTCCCGTAAGTTATAAATACGCATTTATTATAAATAAAACCATTAGTACAACATATTTTAAAATAAACTAATTTCTATTAGTAGAACATGTTAACAAGAAAATATTTTCATTACAATGTTAATTTTGTTTAGTTACAATGTGATTCGGTTTTTGCAACACAAGAGGCACAACAAAACCATTTAGTCTCAGACCATTCACATCATTCCTGTAATGAATGTCGCCAAGCATACAAGACGAGAGAAGAATTATGTAAACATAAATACTCCGAGCATAAGGAAACCTATTTTCCGTGTCTTGTA